GGGGGGGGGGGGGGGGGGAGAGAATGATTGCATATCTGAAGGCATCAAGAGAGCAGATATGGATGGGAGAGGAGTGACATGGTCGGACACATCTTTGCTTTCTTATTAGCGAGGGCCTGTACGGACACTTTGGTCCTTTTTTATGGGGGCCGCGATGAAACCCCTCTTCGTGCATCCGCGGAAAATGGCCAGGGGAAATCACAGATGAGAATCACTCAAAGACAGGGAGATGTCAACAGGCACATAATGATAGCTGATGGCCCCAGAACACTCTCCCCTTTTCCCTCTCAGCCTTACCTGCCTAAGTTGCACTATACTAGAAAACATAATTAGAGGTAAAACAGAGAGACGGAAGCTTTATCTCTGTGTTTTCTGTAAGCAATGCTCTTTGTTTTATACATCTGGGAGTCCTTTTTTTTCCTCCCTCCTCTCCTTCCAAATCTCTCTTTCACTTCATGGAGAGGAGGAGGAGGAGGAGGAGAGCTCCCTCTGTGAGATGCCAAGGTGCTCCCAGTCCATTGTGCTGCTGGCTGTCAGGTTAAATTAGGGAGTACAGGCTCCGTGAGTGTAAAAAAATCAATACTTGATGGAAGATTGCTCCCCGGAAAATCTGTTTTGATTCCAGGATTAATTCTTGACCAAAGGCTCCAGCAAAATGACATGCCATTAGCCTGAAAATGAACACATTCTGCAGTGGAAATTGGATGGAAATGTGTCAGGTGATTGCCCCGGCTAGTTGTTTTGACTCTTTGAGCGAGGGGACTGAAGGTGTGGCTGTCTGTGAATGAGGCCTCCATTTCCAGAGCGGAGACAACTCCACCATGGCCTCGGAGTGGTCTCAAGGCCATTGTTGTCCAGCGGCTGCAAATGCTTTCCAACAAGGTGAAAAGGCATTTGCCTCGCTGTCCCTCCTCCTCCTCCTCCTCCTCCTCCTCCTTGTTCTCCTGTGTTTTCCATAAAGCATGAAGTGGAAGCAAGAATTTGAAAACCTTAAAATAAAACAATGATTTATTTTTTTTGTTTTGCTCTCTTTACTCGACAGCAAGGATAAAAAAAAAAAAGGGAGGGGAGTTGAGATGTATTATTAATAAGTGAATAATGTGTTTGTCAGGACGGATGACATTTTCTCCTTTGAAAACTTAAACAGGAAGCTGTAAAGATGCACTGGACAGTGATTGAAGCATTCAGGCTGCACTAAAAATGCAGCACAGATGGAGAAAAAACAACAACATACATGATTTCTGACATCCTGACAACATGTTTCTGACCAAAAACATGTAAGATTCATTTATTTTTTGTCAGTAATGTTAAATTGCCTCCATGTTTTGATTATCAGCTGTAGATGTGTTCAGAAAGAGAAGCATCAGTGTGGAATATTTTTATTTTTCATGGAAACATTTTTGATTTCTTGTCTAAAACGTGGATTTTATAATGTAAAATAACATATAATGTTTATTTTTTATTGTTTAATTAACAATAAGTCTAATTCTGCTTAACTAAAATTGGAAATTCTGCCAATCAACCACCAATTATTACTAATTATTAAGTTTACTATTCAAATTAGCATGTACTGTGAATTCAAACCCATTTAACATGTCATTTTCAACACTTTTGAGATACATAAACTGTATAAATAAAC